TTTCTACTGGTGATGGATTTTTGGGTAATAATGTCCCTTGTAAAGTCGCAGGTATTGGTACAATCAAGATTAAGATGTTTTATGGGATTGTTTAAACACTTGGTAATGTGAGACATGTTCCAGATTTGAGTAGAAATGTAATTTCATTAAGTACTCTAGATTCAAAAGGGTACAAATTCTCCAGTGAATGTGGAGCTATGAAAATTTGCAAGGACTCTCTCGTTGTGATGAAAAGGCAGAGAAAGATACCAAGCTTTTTGTTCTACAAGGTTCAACAGTTTTAGATAATGCAGTTGGTGTTTCATCCACCTTGTCAAATAACATTGTGGAACAAAATAATCGTGGTTAGAATGGTAATGTGAAGCATAAAAGAGTTCAATTTCGTGAACATAATGAATTTGAAGATAGAACTACCATTGATGATTAGGATCGTGATGTGCATGATATTGCTCATAGTGAAACATTTCTGAGCAAAGTTGGCACTTATGATAACCGTGTCAATGTGAAGACTAAATCCAAGGCTAGAAAAAGCTTGGATTCAGTTAGTGTCCTTTACTGAAGATTACCCCTTTGAGGGGTGTTGGGGAAGAGTGGAGAACTTGTTCGTTGAAGTGAAGAATTATTTTTATTGAGTTTGATTGTCACATTGAATTTAAGTGTTATGTCTCGAAACCTTTGCACTTTCATAATTCGTGCCAAGGTGGAGATTTGTTAGAGTTTGAATCGGGTTCAAAGTGACACAGGTTAATTAATATATAAATATTGGGAAAATAGGAAACCTAGTTTGATTAAAGGTAGAAAACTTTATTAAACTAGATTTCTACTTTATTTAGTTTTCCTTTGTAATCAAGTATCTATCCCTATAAATAGATACTAAAGGTCAGAGTTAGAAATCAAGTTCTTTTATTTCATCAAAATTCTCTTGTATTTTCTTCCTTTATATTAGTAAAATTCTTCTCCTCTGCCCGTGGTTTTTCCCTTTTGGTTTTTCACGTAAATCCTAGTGTTCTTTGTTTTTCCTTTTCGATCGTGTTTATTTGTTTGACGATAATCATCGTTCTGATATTATAACAGACACTATTAAAATATTTTAACAATATTGTTTTTGTTAGAGGTAATGTTATCGAGGTTAGTTCGAACGAAAGCTACTTGGCAATAGATGGCTAACCGAGAGCGACAAATGTGGAATCATTGGAGGTTAAAGAACCAAGAGCAAGGTGAGATTTTAAGAGAAAGAAAGTGAGTTTCTTGGCATTTTCGTTAGTTATTTTTTATCGAGGAACTGGTTAGAGTGCTGTCGATGAGGAAATCGTTATCCGATAGACCATCGACCTCATTAATTAACCAATTTAGGCCTCCATTTTGATTACCACGGGTTCTTTTATGGTTGCCTTTGTTAGCAGTTTCCATGTTATGGTCCGTGATATGGCTACTGGTAGTTTCACTCTTTCACATTATGGTGCATGGTATGGTCAGTTTACTTCAATTTCCTATACGTAAGGTTGAAGTTAGTGGACGTGAGGTATTATCTTCCACGATTAACAATTAGTTTTAGGTGGTTTTTTATGGGAAAAACCCTTATAAATATCCATTTAAGCCATGGTCCTTAAGAACCAAAACACAATTCAAGCAATTCTATTTTCGAATACTTGGAAATATATTCCATCTAAATGAGATCTTGACTGCTTAGAAGATTCTTGGCAGTTCTAGTTTTCGTACATCCAAATTTGATGTAATTGACGGTGTTTGACACATTTGAAGGTAGTGCTATAATATTCTATCACATCTCGATTGTGACATTAGTTAGGCAATGGTTGTATGTATTTATAACTGATCCTTTTTTTCTGCATTTATGCTCGATGTATGCTTATATTTGGTATCATGAGTATGATTAAATCTATGTCTTGTTCGGATTTTGAAAGTTTTATGTTTCTCGAATTTTTGCTGTTATTATTTTTAAAGTTTGAGAAATTTTTGTTGCAAACTTGATTTTAAAACTATTGGAATTTATTCAAGATGATTTCTAAAATTAATTATGTTTATAGTAATTATATAAAAAATTTAGAAATGTATGATTTTTATGTTCCTAAATTTTGATTGAATTTATGTGAATTATATGGTTATTAATTACATACATTTTAGGTCCATAAAATTTTAGTATTATTGTATAAAGTATTTAACGATGGAACTTTAGGTTATACGTCTAGAGATCAAATAATTTTATTTTTTAGATAATTAACCACAACAATTTTAGTTAAATATAATTGTTTATTAAAATAATTTTCTTGAGGACTATATACATAAAATATTGCATATTGAACCAGCAACAATTAAAAAAATTAGGATTAATATATAGTAAAGTTAATTACGTAATTTTATTCAGTTAAATACTAGCTACAACATCTTTAGTTAAATAAATTACGTAATTTAAAAATCATATACATTTTTTATAGAAATCGCTAATTTTATTAAAAATAGAAAATATCCAAAACACATACATTAAGCTCAGGTATTGAATCCTATTACATAATTTATTAAGGTCAAATTATTAGATGCCTTTACATAGTTACTCACATGAATTACGAAAGTGAATTTAATACTTTTATCAAAGGAATAAAAATAATTCTATCATAAAATGGATCTAATTGAATTAAAATTTTAGCCCACATGCAATTTTTATGTCACTAGATTCATTATTTACATAATTTACATGGGTAAATTATGATTTATGTTTGCTTTGAATTTTAATTAAGTATGCATATTCATTATTTCTTGTAGTTTTACAACCTGTGAATATGTCTGATAATCGAGCAGATATCCCTAAATTATCCAGCGAGAACTTTAAGTTCTAGAAGTATAGTATTCTTCTTCAATTGGAGTGTTTCGATATTGATTATGCTATAAGGAAAGCTAAGCCACATATCATTGAAACCAACACTCAAGTTAATCTTGCTCTTCATGAAAAGTGGGAACGATCCAATCGCCACAATATTTTGTTCATTAAGAGAAATGTTCCTATTGATGTTCGTGGCTTATTTAAGCATTATGAGATTGTACAAGGACTATTAATGGCTATTGGAAAGAAATTCAAAACTTATAAAAAATCATTGGCCAGTAACCTAATCATGAGGTTAATGTCCATGAGACTCACTTCTGTGAAAGACATATGTGATCACATCAATAAGATGCGAGATTTAGCAATTCGACTTAGGGCACTCGAGGTTGAAATGTATGATTTCTAGCGTGAAGTACTTTATATTGAATACTCTTCAACTTAGTATGTGTTATTTAAGATATCATATAACACACATAAGGATAAATGGTCTATCCATGAACTTTTGACCATGTATGATCAAGAGGAGTCTATACTCATATTGAAGAATAAGAGGAGGTTGAAAATTTTGGAAAATATAGATTTCTCTTTTTTATGGCCTATAAAAAGGAGAGAATATCATACATTTCATACCTTCTTATTCGTCTCTAGTTTATTTTTAATCCACAAATTACTTTCCGATAAGCCATGGCTGCCTAAACCATTTGACAAGATGTGCATCATAATTGGGAGATCAACGCCATGTAGCAACGACAATCAAGTGAAATTCAACTTCTATTTTCATTTCTTGTTTTGAAAGAGGGAAGTGACGATTATAAAGTTTGAAAGTGTCCTTATTTTAGATGTTATTTGGATTTGATCATAACGTGTTTAATGAAATGTTTCTATTTAGTGTTTTTGCTTCAACAATGCCTTTATGTATTGTAGATTTATTGAGATAATTTTAGAAATGAAGTTATCTTTAATGTATATGATTTTGATATTTTTAGAGATTTAAAATTGCATGTTACTTTCTTGCTGCATTGGTATTGCAAAGTATATTTAGCATTTGTTAAATATTGGTCTGGTTGTGTCCTTATTTTAGATGTTATTTGGATTTGATCATAACGTGTTTAATGAAATGTTTCTATTTAGTGTTTTTGCTTCAACAATGCCTTTATGTATTGTAGATTTATTGAGATAATTTTAGAAATGAAGTTATCTTTAATGTATATGATTTTGATATTTTTAGAGATTTAAAATTGCATGTTACTTTCTTGCTGCATTGGTATTTGCAAAAGTATATTTAGCATTTGTTAAATATTGGTCTGGTTGCTCTCATGAATGCTACTACACTACTTCACTTCACCAAAATAATTATAGTGTAACATTTTCTCTCTATGGGTTCGATATCCAATTCACATAGTGCATCCACTTTACTACTTGATTCTAGACATGTGCACTTACGTTTGTTGTAGCATTATTCGTAACATCAAGTTTTTGGCATCTTTGTTGGAGAGCAATGTTATTGCGTTAGAGTTGTTTTCTTTTTTACTGACTTTATTTATTCTCATTTTGTAAGCACTTTATTATCTTAGTGTTGTTGGTGCATGTCCCGCAATGATAATCAAGACTTAGAACCTTTTGATCCCGAAATCGAACAAACACTTTGTTGACGCCATAGACAAGCAAATAACAATCAGTCGAACATGAACGTTGGAGCTGATAAAAATGATTTACCACCATTGCGAAATGGTGATGAAGACTTACCTGCTAGAAATAGAGTGAATCTATCAAACATCTACAACATTGATGATCGTAATAGGCCAATATAAGAGCATGTTGTGCCAACCTTAGATTATCATAATCCTAGCATTGTGACTGTTGTCATCCATGTTGTACACTTTGAGTTGAAGCCTGTGATGCTCCAGACACTACAGTCAATGGGGTAGTATAGTGGTTCATTTATCGAAGATCCTAGAGTAGATCTTAGAGCATTCATGAAAGTGTGTGGTTCTTTTGTACAACCAAGAGTGCCCGATAAAGCCTTGAAGTTGAAGTTGTTTCCTTATTCTCTATGTGACAAAGCTAAAGCATGGCTAAATTCACTGCCACCATATGTTATAACATCATGGAATGAACTTCCTCAAAACTTTTTGTTGCATTTTAACCCTCCAACATGAATGCTAAATTAAAGAATGATCTCACATAATTCAAGCAAATAGAGGATGAGAACCCATATGAAGCTTAAGAGCGTTTCAAGGATTTGTTGCGCAAATGTTTGATGCATGGTTTCTAGCATTGGACACTGTTAGGTATGACTCATAAATATACCAGTAAAGAGGACAGAGGATGGAGAGAGAAGTGGTTATTTATTATAAAAGGAGATGTAACCTAAACCTATGAGATATTGAATGAAAAACTAGTGTCGCCTAAGGCACCGAGGACGTAAGCACATTGCTGAACCTCGTTAAAATTCTTTTGTTCTTTTTGTTTTCTTTACCCGATTATTCAACAATTGGTATTAGATGTCAGGATCCAAATTAGAAGTTGTGAAATTCGATGGTCAGGGTAACTTCAGATTATGGTAAACAAGGGTAAAGGATCGAAGCCGACGTTGATGGAGGAGGAAGATTGGGAAGAATTGCAGCAGCGAGCGACAAGAACTATACGATTATGTTTGGCGGATGAGTCATATATCACGTCATGCATCTGTCATCTCCAGATGAAATTTGGAAGAAGTTGGAAAGTCAGTTTATGTCTAAATCCTTAACGACTAAATTGTATCTAAAGCAGCTGATACGATCCAAACTAGCTCCAACTTTCTCCATGACTTGAACACCCCATGGATGTTCTTCAAAGTTGTTTCTAAGGGAGTTCTTCATTACCCTATCTTATATTATATCGTTTATACATTCTATTCTATCATAAGCATTCATTCACATGTTAGTATAAATTATCATATTATTATTTCCATCCTATATTTAGTTAATCATGTCTTTCATATCATTCAAATATATGTTATGATTACATATCATTTTTTAGGATATTATTATTACATGTTTCCATTTATCATTTATGAATACCATGTTATATGATATTCATGCATACAACATATTCACATCTTTATAATTGATGCATAATGTTATTTCAAGTATGTTAAGTATGTTATATTAGTCTTGCATTCATTTAAGCATGATTCAATTCATTCGTGAAATGGCAGAATGTTTAATCATTCATTTGTTAGCAAACGTGCATTCATTTTAGCTCCTAGGTCTTATACATTAGCTTACATATGTTATATCATTATGTACTTAGCTCATGACATGCATTCATAGCTCATATCACTCAAACACCTCACGACAACATGCATTTTACCTTAAATGAGCTCACACATTGCTTATTTTATTTGTTTGGTGATTCCTATAGGTGAAACACAAAACAAGTCATATTATGGTAGCTTGGCTAGCTAAAAAGACAAGCACAACATCTCACACTAGCTCAAGAACATTATGGCATCTCAATTTCATCACATAAGGAGCTTAAACTTAGCTGGAGGAGCTAGCATGTAGCTAAACTTAGCTGGAGGAGAGCTTTGGACCAAATTACTGAAAAGTGGACTAGAGGTAGCTGGAAGTAGCTGGGAGAGTAGCTGAGGAGTTGAGAAGACCAAAGCTAACTAGCTTGAGTTCATCAAGCACCTAGTTAGCTACCAAGACACTCACCTAGCTTACCTTGAAGCTAGTTCATCTCTAGGCTGCCCAATGGATGCCATGTCACCTAGATGCATGTTGGAAGCTAATTCACGCCTAGTTGTTGCCTATCTTCATTCCATGGACTTCAAGATCCTATGGTTGCAACCTCATCAAAGCATAGCAAGAAGACCCATGTGCATTCATGTAGGCTGCCATGTGCATCATTCAAGCATGTTCACTCCATGTGACATCAAATTGGCGCCAAAACACCAAGGGATGCTTCCTATTCAGCCAAAGACTCTTTCCTCTTCATTTTGGCGCCCAAATAACTTCCAAATGCATTCAAATCATCCTTATGGCCAAACCAACACATAACCATTCGGCCAAGAACATGTATTTTCATTAAAGTCTTGTTTTTTCATTAAAAATCATGTCATTTTAGGAAGGTACAAGGGCTGGCCGAACCAACATGTACCTATTCGACCAAGTCCCTTCAAAAACTATAAATAGGCTTTCTTATTTCATTTGTAATGAGATCTTTTGTTTAATTAAAGTGATATTATTCTCTTCCTTAAGTCCTGGTGACTTTTTATCGACTTATCAAGTATTTTATAATTGCGGCGTCAACCCTCTTCCTTCATCTTGATACTTCTGGTTCCTAGTTCATATAACTAGTGGGTCAAAGTACTTAACACCACCCCTTGAAGAAACAATATAAAGATTGGGTCTTTGCTCTCTATAGCATTGGTTCTTCTTTGAGCGTTCTTCAAGATACTATCCTCACAACCATCCTTTTGTTTCATCGCCATAAACATAACCGTTTCAATCATCTTCCGCTTCCATCTCTCATATATTAAATAGGCTACCTATTAAACCATACGTTTACCACCCTTATCCATTCTGTTTTGAGTCATTCACTTGTGTAGGTTGTTTTGCTTCATTCCTAGATCCACAATCAATTGATAAGGCATCAGAAGAGCCTTACATCAAGTGGTATAAGAGCTTTGGTGGAAGAAAGCAACGTGCAAAAACAACAAAAAAAATACAAAAAGAAGTGCAAAGTGAACGGAAAAAAAATCCATCAAAGAAAATCAAAGCACTCAAAGAAGAAATTGAAAGCACTCAAAAATGAAGAAAAAACAAAGAAAAGAAAAGAAAGAAGTTGAAGCACTAATCAACAATTCTCATTACAAAGCAAGTCAAGAAAGCCGTTTAAATTGATTGTGGTGATAGAAGGTTGTAAAGTGACTTGTGTAAGTAACCCCTTTTGTTCTTTTCTTTCTATTTTCTAAGCCACCCTTTCATTATATTTTGTTTTCCATTCCTACTAACCCTTTTGCAGCCGACACTAAACAAGTAAAATTTACTTGATACGTTTTGAGTAAAGTTCTCTAGAACTTGGGACAAGAGAATCGAGAGGAAAAAGGCTAGAGCATGTGTGAGATCAGAAGAGGACAAATAAAAGCCATTATAGTCCTAGAGTGCAAACACGAGCGGATTGAGTGACATTCAAGTTTTCCTTGGAGTGACTCGTGAGGCTTTGTGAGAGTACATTCTGGTAAGGTCCTACACACATTTCGTTTTTCCTTATTTGCTAACATATATCTTCCATCCAACATATTTGTAGTCAAAAGGACCTTGAACATTCAAAGTCAAGAGGATGAACAAAGAGAGAACATCTTCCATACCAAATGTCACGTGGGAGATAAAATTTGCGTGGTGATCATTGATGGAGAAAGTTGTACAAATGTAGCAAGTACTCACATGGTAGAAAAGTTGGGTCTCAAGATTTCCAAACATCCTCATCCTTATAAACTTCAGTGTCTCAACGATGTGGGAGAAGCCAAGGTAACCAAGCAAGTTGTTGTACCTTTTTCAATTGGAAGATACAATGATGAAGTTCTTTGTGATGTGGTGCCCATGAGTGCAAGCCACCTTATACTAGGACGTCCTTGGCAATATGATAAGAAGGCTACTCATGACAGATTCTCTAACAAGTACTCTTTCCAACATAAGGAAGAAAATTATATTGGCACCCTTGCTTCCCAGTCAAGTTCATGAATGCCAAGCGACCCTTAAGTCACGCATAGAAGAATGGGAGAAAATGAAGGCCATAAAAAGAAGCTTTGAAGAAGAACATTTTGAGGTGACAAGAACAATTGGAAATTAATCTGTTGGAGTTAAAAAGGATGTTTTGCAAGTAGTGGAGCAAATTGAAAGTGGCAAATTTGAAAAGGATGAGTATAGAGAAGAGAAGCAGAGTGAAGGACAATTTTTACCTAACAATTCTTCTTCTACTATTTCTTTTTCCTTGCAGGATATTCAAAGAGACATATTTTCAAGTAGAAATTCAAGAAACATGTCTTTTGAAGAACCAATAGGTGTGACCTTTGGTAATCCACAAGACATGTCCTTTGACGTTCCAACATCTATGTCTCTTGATGTTCAAAAAGATGTGCCACTTGAAATGCCAAGAAATGGGATCATTGATAATCCAAGTACATTGCACATAATGAAGGTAATTTAGCAACCAATAGAGATTTTCATCATTAAGCAACCAACGCCCATTAAACATCCTCCCTGGTTTACTAATTCTATTCATTTTGTTATTAGTTTTTCATTTTATAACTTTGATTCATTTTATAGCAATTTGATTAGTATAAGTGGTGTTATCCAATCAATCTATGATGACAAGATCATTTGTCATTTTGAGTTTGATTGGTATCAAATTCCTCCATACGATTACCAGTGAAGCAAGATTGAACATTTTGAATCATCATGGAGGAAACTTAAATTAAATTTTAATCAAAGGTCTTCTAGAAACATTGTGTAAATCCCTAAAGGAGTGAAGATCCAAACTAGCTCCAACTTTCTCCTGACTTGAACACACAATGGATGTTCTTCAAAGTTGTTTCTAAGGGAGTTCTTCATTACCCTATCTTATATTATATCATTCATTCTATTCTATCATAGCATTCATTACATGTTAGTAAATTATCATATTATTATTTCCATCCTATATTTAGTTAATCATGTTTCATATCATTCAAATATATGTTATGATTACATATAATTTCTTAGGATATTATTATTACATGTTTCCATTTCATTTATGAATACCATGTTATATGATATTCATGCATACACATATTCACATCTTATAATTGATGCACAATGTTATTTCAAGTGTGTTAAGTATGTTATATTAGTCTGCATTCATTTAAGCATGATTCAATTCATCGTGAAATGGCAGAATGTTTAATCATTCATTTGTTAGCTCACGTGTATCGTTTTAGCTCCTAGTCTTATACATTAGCTTATATATGTTATATCATTATGTACTTAGCTCATGACATGCATTCATAGCTCATATCACTCAACACCTCACGGCAGCATTTTACCTTAAATGAGCTCACACATTGCTTATTTTATTGTTTGGTGATTTCTATAGGTGAAACACAAAACAAGGCATATAATGGTAGCTTGGCTAGCTAAAAGGACAAGCAAACAGCTCACACTAGCTCATGAACATTATGGCAGCTCATTTCATCACATAAGGAGCTTAAACTTAGCTGGAGGAGCTAGCATGTAGCTGAACTT